TCTATCTATCTATCTATCTATCTATCTATCTATCTATCTATCTATCTTGTTTTTATTTACCGTGTCGAGACATATTGGTACATATGTATGTAGGCCTCTGTTTACAAAGCATTTCTTTTAAAAGAGCTTCAGTCTATTTTTTGGGTTGTGGGGCCATTCTGCATCCATTCTTCAAACCCAGCCCTCTTTCACCCATACTCTCCACCTGCCTCCCTCTCTGTCCTCCAACTCCATCACTTTCTCCCCCTAACGACACCTACTGATGATTAATAAAAATCTGCACTGGACTTTGGCTGCATTTTGGGAGCATTTTGTATGAGTGCCGTCAGGGGAAACTTTGCTCTATGTCTTTTCCCAGCAGTGTCTTTTACTCAACTGATTTCAGCTTACTGAAGAAAAAGACACCAGAGGGAGCCAAGATAAAAGACACTTTGGAGACGAGAGGAACAGTGAGCCCACATTTTCTGCTACTAATAGCAGTATTTTGAAGAAAAATCAGCTTCAAGCATGAGTGGGAGGGAGATGAGGTTTGTGGTTATAAATGTCATATTGTGGAGAAAATGACACTTTTCATTTGAATTTGGCCTAGTTTAGAAAGCCTCCAAATGTTTTTCAAGCATTGACTAAGTCTGTGACAAGTGGAAGCTCACAGGATACCAATGCTGTTAGGATTGGTTCTCATATGAAACCTTTATAAACATATTGATAAACTAGAAAAAAAAAGCTCTTCCTGTGGAACAGCTGTGAGAACAGCTGTGCCAAAAGCTGAATGGAGAAAGCGGAGGAAGGAGAAGAAGCCAAAGAAAAGCTGAAAAATACACAGAACTGAAGAGTTGAAGAAGAATGGAGGAAGCAGAAGAAAAAAGGCAGAAGGGAGGAATAATTTGAAAGATTTAAACCAGCAACTTCTAGACCTGCAGTCAAAGGCTCCACCATGGAGCTATACCAATGGCTGAAAGGCTGTAGAGCAATACATGGGGAAATTTTGAAGGGTCTGAACTGCCAGTGACCAGCAGATGGAGCCATGCTTTTGACTCCATTCATTTCAATGAGAGAAAATAAAAGCAGAAAAAGTTAAATAACTTAAAAAGTTTTAAACACCAAAAGTCAAAGCTGCACAGTGCCGAAGGAGCTGAACATTTTGATTCCTTATTTGTTGAAATAGGATGACAACTGTGGGCGTAGTTAGACGCAGAAAAAGCGAAACAGGAAAACAATAGTGAGAATGCCAGTAGGCATTCTCACAATAAAGAGAAACAGGAAAACAATAGCTCACAATGAAAATTTTTCTATGTAACAAAGAGAACCATTATTTGGTAAACCATCATCTGTAAGATTTGAACACCCTCTAGTGGTCAGTAGTCCAGTTTTTCCTCCTCAATTACTTGATGGCTCCGAGAATTTTAAATGTATTTTTAAAAAGATGCAGTTAAAAAAATCTCTTCTTTTAATCATTTTAAGATTCAGACCCATACTTTTTATTCAATAGCAACATAGCTTTCTTGGTTATCAACGTTCTCAGCTAAATAAACAATTATCCTTGTACTGTTCTGCTTTCCAGCCTTGATTTCTTGTGTTATCTGCCAAGCATATGACCTAAACTTGATTATATGAAGCCTTCATGGAAAGAAAAACTTCACAACAGCAAATGCTTTCATCTCTGTTCTGCTTGGATTTTAACAGTACACCACGAGTGTTGTTTAAAGCCTTTTATAAATGTCATTTTCTCCGAATAATTGACATCAAATTTCAAGCAGCATCAAACTGTTGCTAAATCAGCCTCACTTCCCTGTTGTGTGTTCTAGCATAGACAGTAACGTGTGTGAGCTGTGCTGTGGCTGTAACACCACTGCGTGTCACTGTCTCTTCGCATTCCTGCTGTGTTACTGACGTAAGGGGTGAAATGGGGACATCTAGTACAACTTCACTCCTCTGAGTAAACTTGTTTCGGGACACAATGGGTGACACAGTGGTTCATGGCAGCTTCAAGTTTGTTGTTTCCTACCCCATGTTCACTTACCCGTCAAAGGCCAGTGTGTGGGAAAAAGAGGAGAAGTGCCAAGTTTAGGTTTCACATGGTGTTTATTGATGTGTTGATGCGTCCTGAAAGTGAAAGTAGTGTAAATCAAGAAAATCTAAGCTTCAGAAATCATTACTTTGGTACCGGTAATAAGATAAACTGTACATGTGGATTCTTTGTAGGCTCATCTGCAACTTTTCTTAGCATCACTATCAGTGATATTAACTGCAAACAAACGGTTCTCTCTGCAACAGTTCAATCACAATTAATCAATGTATAATACAGAAATATCACCAAATAAATAAAGGAAAACAATGTGTCACTAATTAATTAAGACAATAATCTGATGGGTTATGTATCCCAGTTGAGCTCTAGCTCATTGTGCTCATAGTTTACTGTTTAGTTTCACTTCACTTCAATTCTGTGGTAAAATGAAGGGAAAAACTAACTTTCGAACTAAACAAAAGTGAAAATAAGATATTGCACATACCACACCAGAGCTTCATCGTATTTAACCAAACACTCAACATTAAGAGGTATTTAGGAGTTCATAGGCATGGACAAATGACAAATAGTAAAATTGCATGCATAGTTGTTGCCATCATTTCAAATTATGCGTGGATCCATTTGACTTAGCTGTGAAAGTAAAACAAAGTCTTGTTGCCACGTGTGTACTGAAACTCCTTCACATCTACCACAGTGTGACAGTTACAAGAGACTGGTCATGCTTGTCCAGGTTTTCAGTGTTCTCACATATCTCACTGAGTTAAGTCAGTTTGAATTCTTTTCATATTTCACCTACCTCCTGGTGACCTGTGTTTATTGCGTGACAAAGGTGCTAGAGCAAAAGTGGAAGACAGAAATGGTGAGGATTCCTTCTTTTTTTTAATGCAAGGCCAAATTAATCCAAATGCCAAATGTCTTTCTTGTGCATCTTCTTTAGAACTGAGATTTTGTCAGTTGACACTCAGTCTTCTATATACTTACTACTCAAAAGCAGTTCATTCAAGAAAATGTGTGTGTTGTCCTTGTCACTGATTACTGTGGAACTTCTCATTTGGTAGCTGAAATAAACTGAGGTTAGGTGAGGGAATACAGATTGGGAGAGAACTTCATCACATCAGCTTTAAAGGTGAACTGTCACTAGTTGTTAACATGGATTCAAATTTCACCAGTTTACCAACTTATAAAACCTCTGCACAAATTTATTTTTTGTATAGAGCTAATCCACTAACTGGCATCTAAGCTTAAAAATTGAGAGACTCAAAACTTTGACCCAGATGGATTAAAATGATCATATGCGTACCCCTTAAAGAAAATATCAAGAACTCTTAGTACTGGATTAGTGTTTCCTAGGATTCTTTGTCCCAAGAAAGATTAAATCAAAAGAGTCAGCAGATGAACAATGTGGCTCAAGGCCAAGGGGGCAGTTTGTGCAGAAACGGAGGGAGAATGGGGTTCTGTGGTGTTGTAAATCCTCAAATATTCTCTGTGCAGACTGGCTTCACCCTGAACAATCATCTTTTACAAATACACCGAGGAAAAGGGCACTGTTTCAAGATAACCTACACAAATAGCATCAGTACCTTGTGGCGCTGGGAGGTGTTTTATGTGAAACATTATCTATGTATTACCATGGAAACTGCAGAAGGTGGTCCAAGTCGCTGTCTGAGAGAAGGATTTTTATTTTAAATTCAAGATGTTGATGAAGCTTGTGATCTCAGCAGTAGAACAACAAGTCTTTCTTCAGGCATTTAATGCACCAGAAAGACTTGTGGGTGGAGTTTTTTTCTTTTTTATTCCATTGATAGCCTCCCCTCCACTTGAAAAGAATCAAGTATTGATAATCTTGGTCCTAATAATCCCCACCCTGTTACTGAAATGTTCTTCATACCCCAGAGCTGTTGGAGTGGTGTAACAGTGTACTACACTGTACTGGGGGAGACTGAACTTATGACCTCACTAAGAGAATGGCATGTTAAAAAGCTCAAATCCCTGTTGTGTGATTTCCTGTTGCTCTGTGGGAGAAAAGCTCTTGGGTCAAAGTCCATATCCTCAACCGAGAAGGCATACAACAACAACAGTACTTAGACTGTTAAAAAACGAGAACGCAAAAAGGATAGTTACCTTGAACTCAGAAATACAACAAACCACATTTTCACAACCGATTAAATATGGGTTAGGGCATTATTTTTTAACCGTTGAGGGGAGGGGTGGCCTAACAGTTATGTGCTGCAAGCGCTCGCCTAGGCTCTTGGTGAAACCCTCATGCTACATTCAGGTTTATTGGGAAATATGAAACTCTAAATTCAAACGTTGGTTCGCGTCTTTTTCTGTTAAAGTTTAACCAGCAACGTAGAATGTGAATAAGTTTAACTATTCATAATTTTATTGTTTTTAACTGCCCTGTTGGATTGACAACCTGTACAGTATGTCCCTCGTTTGTGCTAAAAGACAGATAGGATCAACTCTAGCCCTCCATAACCCTAACTTGAAAGCGAACACAGAAATTGTATAGATTTTTTCACAGCAGTGGAAATGATTCTGTGAATGTGAATTTGTTATTTCATCTTTTGTTTCGTCTCACGTTTTCCAAATTGTGTGATATGTTATTTTAAAATTATTTCTTATTTTATTGTGTGTTGTCCAGTTCTGTTGTTTTTGCTCATCTGCTCTATAGTATCTGGTCGTTTTCTTTACTGACTTTCTAGTGTAATTTAAAATGTCATGAATGTATAGAAACTGGAATAACACAGAAGTTCCAGTTGCATCTCATACTAAAAGAAAATAGAACCACTAAAGTTGATTATTTGAAAATTTCCGAACAGACGTGAACGCACCACAATGGGCGGGTCTTGACAGTATCAGTTTGACTGCTTCTCAACCCATTCACGCTGATAAGCTTCAGGGGTAGTTGGGCTGAACCGCGGATTCCTTCTTAGACTTGGACGTAAAGAAGGTAAGTTTAGAACGTCAATTGTGTTACTTTTATCCCCCCTAAGTTTGTAAAGGTTGCTGGAGTTGCCATGTATTCGTAAAACAGTTGGTGAGAGCAGCCTGGCTCCGGTGCACACCTTAATAAGCAGAAATAGCTGCGGCTGCTCGACGAGTTGAAACCTGTTACTTGTTTAAGTTTTCTCTGCAGCTTTTCCTGCTCTGGTTTATAAAATATAGAGACGACATTCCCCAGAACCCGGAACAAATCTTTTCGTTTTTTTCCCCAGCCATACCCAGGTGGAGATAGGGACTATATCTTTCTGCCCAGCGCTGACTAACCCCCGTCCTCTACAAATATCTCTCCATATTGCGTAATTTAATGATGTGGAGTTCAGCTGTGGGGGTAAACGTGATGGAGTTTTACAAGCCGTAAAAACTTTTCTCTCGAAGGCTGGAAACCTGTTCGACCGGTAAGCAGGGATTGACTTATCAATTCCCCTGCTTTCCCAGTGGGTGGGAGAAATCCTGGAAACCGAAAAATAACAAAAAACATTATTTTAGCTACCGAGTGGTCGACTTTTTAGTCCCATTAGCGCCGCAAAGCAACTTAATCTGCACTGCACGAGCGTGAAAATATGTGCCCGTCCCGAGGAAATTCCTCTCTCCGAGGCCACCACACCCTTGTTGTGCTGTGGGGCTGCTGTAGATCAGACCCCCGGAGCACAAGAGCTCCGCCGGTGTTTGGTGAGGACCCAAAGTCCGAGCGGCTGGAGCTCCAGCTGGACAACTCCCATGTTTGTGTTCAGACTCGCACGCAATCTGGACGCTCCGACACACCAAGAAACGGGCCATTATCCCGCATAATGCTCCCGTTGTCTGGGCCTGGGATGCTTGAAAATATATTTGCTGATGTCTGACCTCATTGTAGTAGTTCGTGGATGGGAAGTAGGGGAAAAGAAAAACTGAAACAATCAGTGGTGTGGAGGGAAATGCAGTGGAAATCCCCAATCCGTCATTTAATCTAAAGGAAGGGAGGTTTGCAGATGGTGTTTCAAGTAATTTTGAGCTGCTTATTGTAAAGGAAACCAAAATGGGGAAAGTCGGTCTTCTGCACATTAAAATAAAACCATGTGGATGTTGCACTAATGATCAATTAATGGACCAAATGGAGCAACCCATGCAGAGATAGGCTTTTTCTCCCTGCTTGTCATCTGTATAATGCTCCAATGTGCTCTTTAATGTGTTAAATGTAGGAGCTGAGTAGAGCAAGCCCCCTGAATTTGTTTTGGGCACTCTTATCAAAGAGGTTTAACCACAATGCAATGGGTAACCGTTCAAATACAATGAATAAAAATGACTCTTAATCTGTTGTCTTGCAGGCTAACCTTTTCGCTCAGTAAATCTGCAATAGCTAAAAAACAAACAAACACAGATCTGTCGGCTGCAAATCTGACAGAGATATCGGACACAAATAGATTCTCTTCACCAATTTCATTCGATTCAGCTCTTGTCTAAATCAAAAATAATTTCACTCGGGTAGTAAATATATAAGATCATAATGCTTTGGCTGGATGTTTTACAGGAGGGCCAACTCATGGTTTGTTTTCATTATCATGGCCTAAACTTTTACAGAAAGAACAATCTGGCCAACAAATGTCTATATACAGATGATGATTCTACATGTCTTATGATCCAAGGGGCTGGAGAGTTTCACTGTGTTCTTATCTAGCTTTGAAGATATCATAGGATGGTTGCATATGACATGAATATTTGATATATCCAGTTAGAATAACTTAACATGGTGTCTCGTGGATGGATAATGTTATCTATCTTATTTTTGCTGTTGTATTGAGGTCAGACAGGCAGTTTATTAAAGAATATTACGGGTCAGAATCTGTATTTAACTCATGAGGTCATTTCACATTGATGTTACACCTTATTTAACTCCTCTTTACTTACAACAGACATGTTTGTGTTTTTGCTTTGTGGTTTTGCCCTGGACAGCAGAGTGATTAGCCAGATGTCTTTTTATTGTTAACAGTCATATCTGTGCAGAGCTGTTGTTGCTTCTAAACCAAGGTGTTCAGAAACAATGCTCCACTGCATCCTTTCTCCCATGTATGTGGGCAACTTTCCATCAGTGGTGCTTTCCAATGAGGCCAGTGTCCTCCTGAGAGCTGACGTAGCTACAGCTGGCTTTACTCTTTGGGAAATGTGAAAAACTTCTTCTTAGCTCCTTCTCAGAGGGCTCTACATGTAAAGATGTAATTCCAGTGTGGACCAGAAAGTCCAAATGACAGCCCAGAGTATATGCCAGGAGTGCATGTTTGATGCAATGCACATTACCTTGTATACCTTTCTGTAAACGGATTCAATAACAGCTTGCATAAGTGTCTCAACATTTCCGGAGCTAACTGAAAGTGTTTATTTTTATTTAGTTGTTTGTCTGTGACCGACAAACATGTAAAATTGTGTCTGCAGGCAGTGGGGTGTAGATGAGAAAATCCTCTGCCTTTAAAAGAAAAAAACTCTGGGAGAGTTTCCTGTTTGGCCATAAGGTCTCTGACTTTCAGGAAGCTTTAAATGGAGTATTTAAACTGTGATTTTCCCAGAGTTACCCTGGCAGTTGGTTCCCTTGAGGACGGCCTCTGATAGTCGTCATGGTGGATCCACCCACCGATCTGCAAAATGCTTCCATTCATTAAGTTTTTAATCTCAACCGTTTTCTTATCAAGCCTTGTATCTCTCCTTTTTCATTTTCTTGACAAAGGAAAATAGGACAGCAGAAGCTTCCATATTTTTTGCTGCGGGCAGTGGTTAATATGAAAAACCTCCCCAGCAGCAGATAAGATCAGCTATAGCTAATTGGTAACGCTGTCATGGCCACAACAGGCTGGTTGATGCTTTACATGTGACTAAATCAGACTTCACTATGTTAAGTGTTTTCACTGCAACTGTTAATCAAATAAGTCCATAAAAAGCAAAAAAAAAAGACTAAATAAAGGCTTGTTATTTTAGTTTTTTGGTGGTTGCATATTTTGTTGATGAAGCCCTACAGTTTGATAGGCTTGGAAGCAGGATTTGTTAGAATTATTGAATAGCTAAAAAAAAAAGGGAGACAAGAAAAAAACAGACGAACTGGATAGATTAATTGGAGTTAGATGTGTTGTCTTCATGAGAGCTGCTCACACGTTTCAGCTTTCATTTGTGCTGCATATGTGAATCAGAAAAGAATGGATACAGCACCCTTAGGATATGCAACATTAGCTCCCTGATGGTGACATCACACTGCAACACGGGGAGCATGAGATGAGGAGAGAGTAGGAACGAGAGCGTGGAAGAGGATAGATCTCCCAGGGCAAACAAAGTAAAAACAAAAAGGTGAATTCAGTTTCACTGTGAAGCCGAGGCTTGTGTGCTCTCTGTAATGTCGCAGCAGCCTGTGGGAAACACATTCTCTTTTCTGTCTCCATCCTATCACATTTGTGTCCCAGGCAAACCATGCCTAATTCTTGTTGATGGAATATTTATCACATGTTTAATCCAACATATGTCTATGCTTCTCCCTCTTCATTGCTGTAGCTGCTCATGTGTCTGTGTCGATTGCCACACCTCTCTTTGCATCATTCCTTCCATCTGTCCAACTTTCTGTCTTTTTGAACTGCAACCAGGAGTCTTGGGGGCAGATGAAGGGATAATTCTGTGTGATATTTCTCTTATTCAGCCTGTGCTCTGCGCAGAGCTGTGCTCACTGTGGTAAATTGGACAGGAGGAGTCTCAATGGCTCTGTCCTATTTTGGGCTCCAGCTAGGCTCCCTGACTTCAGCTAACATGGCCTGGATCCTGAGTCTCATCCTCTCGTCTGAAGTTAAAATCAGCCTTGAAGACTTGAGTTTTGCTTAAACTTCTTTTTTTTTTCTCTGAGTAAAGAGTTGATGCCGGTTGATAAAGCTTCATAAGGGGACTGATTTACATTTTGATGGTTCGAGCTTTTGTCTCCAAAGGAAAAATGTCAATTCATAGCAGCTGGAAGGAGAGAGAAAAGAATGAATTTGTGTATCCTTGTTCTGTAGGTCTACTCTTGAATGATAGATATATTATGAATGAAATAGTGAATCTCTTCCGACACCTCTTTAGAGGGACATGCACTAACTACCATCTCTGTTTTATTGGCTGATGCACAGCTGGTGCACTTACAATTTGCACTCTCCGTGTGGACACAATTTTCAGGCTCTATGCACCTGTGAGGTCAGCACAAGTCCTCGCTGACTTGGAAATATGAAATTAGTTGCACATGGAAGCCTGAATTGGCCCTTGGAGAGAATCTAGAGTTCACCCCTCATAATTGTGTATGGGGGGTACTCGTTCCTTATAAGCTTTGGTGAGTGGTACACATCCCAATCTCCGTCAAAGTGAAGTTGGATTTTGGCTAAGCCACACACAAAGACTTGACATGTATTCCGCTTTTTTCAGATACTCGTTTTCTAAACTGGCAGTCGGTGTTAGAACAGAGCAGTGTCTTTTCTTGGGATGCAAGTAAATAGTTATTGTCTTTGTTTTGTTGACATCATTGAAACATAAAAGGAGAGGCCAGGGAAAATGTATTCTTGATTTAACTTTCAGATTAATTTGCTGCAATTATTTCAGTAACACAATAGCTGATTAATGAAATAAGAATATCCCACCATACTATTGATAAAATGGGAATAGATTAGCTTAATCTACGTGGCTTTCAGAAACGTTGTTGCTTTCTTCATGTGAACAATTATTCTTCCAAAACTGCAACCAGTAAAGTGTCAATGTTTTTTTCCCAAAATGAATTATTAGAGTATCATGAACAAAATGCCAAAGGTAAACAAAAATATATATCCTTACCTGTTAAACAACAGGTAAGGATATATATGGTGTCATATCACACCAACGTTTTGGTGCTAGGCTCTGGTTGGTTACTTTAAGCAAACAGCCCACATATGCGTACAGACTACTGTTCAGGAGGAATGTTTGAACTGTTAAATGTGGTCTGCCTTTTAGTTTCTTCCCATTTCCTGTGTTGGTGTCATAGACGTATTAGAAAACCTCTCTGAAATTACAGCTTAATATCAAACAACTCAATATGACATTACAGCATCTATTAATCGAAACATGTTATCTTTTAAGGCAACTACTACATATTGGTTCTTCAGCCTGACCTCCCTCTATTAGTTTGGCTCTTATGGGGGTACTTGCTGGGGCTAACTGGAGTGTTACCTGTCCAGTTGTTGTTCGCAGCACGTCAAAGTGGAAGAATCGGGAAGAAAGAGCTAACTTTTGCCACGTGTAGTGATCGTGAGAACTTTGTCCTTTGATACTATTAACCGGAACAGATGTTATGTAAGACATCAGCATTACTAAGACACGTGCAAACTTGTAGTCAAGTGCACAGCAAATTTGATCCATTTTTACGAGGTCAATGTAAATGTGGAGTAAGTCTCTATATGCATGTCACGGCTCACTGCTCATTTGTCTTCTGTGCTATATTTGGTAACACTTTGGTCTGATACTACTTAGTTCATGTAGTGATGGTTCTTACCACACATACTGGACTACATACCTCTTAGTTATTTATGAAGTCATTAGAAGTTTTTCTTATTATTTATTTCCATGTTAATGGAGGACGACTTGCCAATGCATTAAAATCCAGAGTGCATTTAATTATTGAATGCTGAACATAATGTAGTCTGGCCATACAAATAGCCTATTGCAATGCATTGACCAGTTGTAAAGGTTCAGAGCATTTAAGTCGTTTGTCGCTGACAAGTTTTTGTTTCTAAAATGGGAAGAAAAACAGGAATATTTGACAGATGCAGCCATCTTTGTTAATCATTCACAGAACCTTACATTTTTTTCTTTTTCTATGTATGCACTTTGTGACCCTTCAAACTGTATTATTTTGTGAAAAAGTGGGAAAACCACAGTATTTTTATGTTCTGTGACTTTTGCATCTGTTTTATAATGATAATGTTTAATCATATATGAACAAATCCAATAGTTATAACTGCTATAGTGAGCAAAGTCCTTTAAGTCCGTGTTCTCGTCCTTGTCCTGGCGCAGTCGGCAGTTATGCAAAGCAAAGGGGCCATTATCCCCAATAAGCACCATTTGCTGCCACTGTGGCAGCAGGGAGCCTGCTGGAAGAGCTGCCATTATCAATAAGCCATCTTATTTCATTCCTGCATTAAATCTGCGACTAGGCCAAGTTTCTGAAGCCCTCTGAGGCAGCACTGTAGCTACAAGTCACGAGTGTGAATGCGTTTGTGAGTATTAGCTTGTGTGTCGCTCCCCTCTGGCAGTGACAGTATGATGTATGGAGGTGCGGCAGCCTGCTATCACAGGGAACAGGTGGCTCTCTCCAGAGACTTACTGACAACACACTATCCTGATTTAATGTGTGGGGGTTAAAAAAATCTAACTGAACAATTGTCTTTTTATTCTTGGGATGAAAATGGTAGCTATGGTTGCAGAGTGAAGGTGAATGCCTAAGCCCCCCCCCCCCCCCCCCCCCCCACCCCACATCAGACAGAAATGGAACATTGTCTATCTTGGACAGAGACAAAAGCCACTGTCTCTATGCTTGACTGGTTGTTGTGTTGTGCAGCGTCTTGCCTTGATAGCAAAAAATTTGTGGAGCCATTGTATTGGAAGCGTTTTCCACCCGATCGTCCTGAGTCCCTTTAATTACACATCCAGAGGCCAGAAGCTTCTGCAGGAGCTCAGAGAAAAGAACATGTCTGTGTTCTGTTCAAACCCTTTAATGTCACTTTAGACTAATGTAACAGAGCCAGGTGATTGATCCCAGTCCCTTCTCACATATTTGCTGGAGGGAGCTGTAGCCTGTAGCTATCTGAAAGCCTTCAGCAGTCTGGTCATTTGATAGTCTGAGCTTTTGTTGTTTAGCTGCTACATGACATTGACATAAAAAAGTTACCTGTTCTGAAGAAAAATATCTCAGCAAATAGAATTAAATCTGCTGATCACAAAACGATCAACTAAAAGATAATAGTCAGTGGTGAGCAGAAATGTAGGTTCAGCTGCTAATTGTCTGAAGGTTCATTACTGTAACATCTACATTCGTCAGTTATGATAAAGAAACGTGTTTCTGTTGTGTGTGTGTGTGTGAATGGAGGGAAATGTTTTTTCTCCTTGTATTTCCATGCATCTTAAGATGTGTAAGGCTTATGCTACCGGCACTGAGCCAGTTTATTGTTGCCTGCAGCCTTCTCTCCATTATTATCAACCTGTGGGAGATGACTATTGATCTGTGTGTGGACATCTCACACTCTCAGGCAAGCCACATTTCACTCGCATTCAAACGCTTTTCATGGATACAAGAAAAGAGAAAGGTCTTCAGTTCAGCCATGCAAGACTAAACCAGTAAAAGCCGTGAATCCTTTTCCTGCACGGACATAAAAGTGACACAGTAAAGGTCATAACTAATGCGATCGTGTGACAGAGGTCACGCTTGTATCTCAGCATGTTGAGTACCCAAATCATCGGACCACCTCCTGGCTCCCTCCCTGCTGTTTTTCACCTCACATGCAGGATGCAACCTGGGAAAAAGGAAGAGGGCGTGACTCTAAAACAGACTTGGATTTTTTTTCTCACACTATTTATGATTTCATTTCCATACCGCTGTCTTGTTTGAACTTGTTTGTGTCTCAAACCTTAATGTATGGACTAATCCTGGTATTTTCTCTCTAGATGGCTGCAATCAGGAAGAAGCTGGTGATAGTTGGGGATGGTGCATGTGGGAAAACCTGTCTGCTTATCGTCTTCAGTAAAGATCAGTTCCCAGAAGTCTATGTCCCCACTGTGTTTGAGAACTATATTGCTGACATTGAAGTTGATGGCAAACAGGTACAGTATATTTAACATTTGTACTTTCTGATCAATTAACTAATGGAACTGTCTGGAGTTTCCTTTTATGTTCTGAATAAAGATTCTCTTAATAACATCAAATTAATTTGTTTGAATGCTTGATGAACCCTGTTACAAGTGCAGACTATATCTCCCCCCTCTGTTGAGGAATGTTCCTCTGTGCAGGAACTTTAATGTGACGAGCTGCTTTGATTGATGAGGATAACTGCGAATTGTGAACAAACACTCGGGTCATTTCATTGTTATAAAGTAACAGACCTTCAGCTATCAACAGGAAATGGATTAGTACCACCTTCCTGAGAAGGATAGCCCCCTCCCTCCTTTTTTCCCTTCTTTTTTTGTAGATCATGACTAATACCTCTTCCCTGTTCCTGCTTCCTGTCCTGCAAAATCTGGCTTCAGCTCTTTGAAGTTGGACCTCTGTTAACAAAGTGAATAATGATTTTTCACAGATTTTCATACATTCGTTTTCAAATAAAAATGTTGGAATAAAATTGCATCACTTTTCACCAGCCTTAGATGACAAGGGAATGTTTGGAAAAGAAGGGAAAAGTCTGACTCCTAAGAGACCCCTAGTGGTGACGACATCATAATGAGCAGAAAAAAGTCTCTTCTGTAAAGTATGTGATGTAGCCAAAAAAAGAAACACAAAAAAACTCAACCCCAAGCATAAAAATAGAGGCTTTCTAGCTTGTCTGCAAGCCAACAAGAGATACTTGGAAGGACACAAAACTAGTCGAAAGTATTTCTAAATAGTGTACTTTCTCTGTGATTAACAGCTTGTAGCCTGTTTTTGGAAACTGCAGGCACGTTTTCCAGCTGTGATCATAGGCGATGGGAGGCTCGTCTCCCTGAAACTAACTTAATGTTGCAGGGTAAAGTGGGCCTAGATACAGTTCTAGCTGTATTGGTTTGTGACCCTTCGTACGTGACTTTTACATGAAATGACACTATTTAGACCACTGTTTACTAGATATTGAAACGAGTGCTCTTGCTGAGCAGTTCCAAGTTATTTTTGCTGGGAAGTTGTTTTATCTGGAGCAGGCCTCCGGGACTGTCAGCGGTTTGATTAACAGCCCCAAACCGGAACATCCTCAACTGCTGAAGAGCTTCCACTGAGGGCACTGAGTTGTCCATTGAAACTCTTTTTTTTCTTCTCTTGTCCAAAGACACTTTTCTCCCATTCTGGTGGTCAGTCTTTTTCTGTTTACGTGTGAATGTCCTCCCTAACGTTAATAGCGGCTTTTTTTTGTCCTCTGCATCAGCAGCCTCTTTGATCTTTGGTTGACTTTTTCCACCTCTTGCTCTCAGGTGGAGTTGGCACTTTGGGATACCGCAGGCCAAGAGGACTATGACCGACTGCGGCCTCTATCCTACCCCGACACAGATGTTATCCTTATGTGTTTCTCCATAGATAGCCCAGACAGTTTAGGTAAGGCTATATTTGCTTTTCACAGGGAATGAAGATACTCAACGGTTAAAGTTTGCCTTAACTGCAAATAATGATTCAATGAAAACATATAGACTATAATAAAAATAGTCCACTGGCCCTAATGAAACGTAATCAACTAATTCTTAGTGGACTAAAATGTAGTACTTTTAATAGTTGGGAATCTAACCTTGCTCTAGTCCATTTTCTGACCACAAAATGTCCTGCGCCTGTGTCCTTGTCCTTCAAGTATGTGTTTTAAAAACATTTTCAGCTGTGTGCTCCTCTCCCACATGATTTAGGCAATGCCTCACATGGTATTCCATGGTTTGCCATGGTTTCTCATTCCAAAGGAAACTGCTGACTTTGTTGAACAGACTCAGACCATGTATCATCTGAGGCTGGTTGACCTTGTTATGTTTGTCTGTATAATCATAAGGGAAATTCTCCTGTCTTTGTAGCAAGAAAAACTCATGGTCTGTGACTTCCTGTTTACAATTTCCTCAGAGAATATTCCAGAGAAATGGACACCCGAAGTGAAACACTTCTGTCCAAATGTCCCGATCATCCTTGTGGGTAACAAAAAGGACCTCAGGAATGATGAACACACACGCAGGGAGCTGGCCAAAATGAAACAGGTATTGTCTCATATGAAACTCTACTACTGGTATAAAAAATAATCCAGAGTTGATGTTAAGTGTCCCCAAACTTCCATAGATATTTTAACTTGGTCTGTACTTGAAACCTCCAGGAACCGGTCAAATCTGAAGAAGGCAGAGACATGGCCAACCGCATCAGTGCCTTTGGCTACCTGGAGTGCTCCGCCAAGACCAAGGACGGCGTCCGGGATGTTTTTGAGATGGCTACCAGAGCAGCTCTGCAGGTCCGCAAGCGCAAGAAGAGAGGTGGCTGCCAGCTGCTGTGAGGGGGCAGAGCGCTAGGGCCATTCGGGACCTGAGGGAGGACCCTCCCAGGCACACAGAACAAACTTAGAGAAACCTTAAATCAGTGGCTTCCACGGACTGTACTTACTTCACAGATGCAGGCAATTAAGAAAGACTGACACACCTGTTTAAAAGCAAAACAAATCAACCGTTAAAAAAAACAAAAAAAAAACAGTTTGTTCTGTGACTCACTCAGTAATTGCTAGATTCCTGTTTTGTTTCCCACTACCAGCGCACCAGTCTGTCTGTAAGGGATTGGTCCCTTCCATCTCTGTATGAATGTATGTTTGTATTTATATGTGCATATACTTTACAAATGTCAAAAAGCTGCCTCTGTGTCATGATTGTTTGGGTAGAAGGGTTAGAATCCCACATGCACACTGATATCTTTTTGGTTTTAGATTTGCATGCCTGAAATCTGCATGCTCCACTTGATCTTTTTTTAAATTTTATTTTCACCTTCTTTGCTGATCCTTAGGGCTTTTTTACCATTAGTAAGTTTATACACTAAAAGTTATACTATACCAATGATATGTACTGCTCTGTCAGCAGAAATGTATTCTACAATTTGCTCACCTGCAAAGGACACAAGAGCCTGATTTACCCCAGTATACTGAAGCAGCAGCAGCTATTTGTAAGCAGAGGCTCTGGACTGTGCATGACTGTCTCCTTCATGGCGACAGCTTAAACTGGCACTGGTGACAGAGATGTATTGTCGTAGAAAGTACTGGCTGTTGCGCTCCTTCTGGCTCTGACAGACATCACTATCACCACCCCAAGAGAGTCTACACGTCACTGTACTCTGTATACAGCAACTACTGATTCATTTTCCATGTGAAAGTTTGAATAAATAACATTAGCAGGACAGGCCATGACAATAGCAAAGTGTCTCCTCACTTATACTCGCCAAAAATGAATTCTGTTAGCCATTTTAAACATGGCTTATTTTGTTGTGTATCAGTGTAAGTGATGGTAACATAAGTTAAAAAACTAAAAGATAATGTTGTCCACCAAAGTTCACACGTATATATTTTGACAAACTGGTAACTTTCTGACCCAGCTCATGGTTTTTTTTTCCCCGGTCCCCTCTAAAAACCAGTAAACGTTCATATCCAGTCCTGCTCTAAAAGCTCCATGAACACTGTAAAAGTAAGTTTACTAATAGCTTAAAATGATCCTGCCACCTCCACATGCCCCCACATTCAGGTCCACAGAGGTCAGAACGTGATGGCTTTGGCTGGAGCCTCTGTCTCAAACATGTCCAACCCATAATTAATGAGGAAATATTGTCGTTATGATTTTTTGCAAACAGGTGTGGAATGTGTTCAATGTCTGGGTGAGACAAACATGTCAAAGTATTTTTGAAATCTTACATTCTCAATAAAATTTAAGTATATGAAATTTTGCAAATGGATTTAATACACTAACAAGTAAAACCCATGTTTTGTTTTGGCCATACTTTGGTATCTCTATCATTAAAACACAAGATGAGCTCACAGATGACAAATTTGGACATTGTTTCATTTTAAGTTTTATGTAATCAACCCAACAATATAAAATAACAATTTAATACAAATAAAACATTCAATAAGAAACTGTGATTTGATAGATATGAATTATTAAGTCGTCTCAAGAGCTTAAAGAAATGCTTTAAACAAGACTATTATTTATTCAACTAATCAATAAATGACAAGAGCAGTGATAACTGAGTGCAAAATTCTCTTCACCGTCACCATTTAAAAGAGTAGATGAACAGTTTGCACATTGGTGATGGCAAAGCCCACTCTGTGGCTATTTACAAACTCATTGCACAAAATTCCCTGAACTTTTTGGTAAATTTGCATAGCTGATATTTCATGAAAAATATAGTTGGTTACAGTTTTTTTCTCATGAATGTAGGCTGTTGTTCTGTATCTGTACTACAGAACTAACTAACCCTTTGAAGAGAATTCCCATCTGGTCACATCGTTCAGGAAAAAAAACAACATTTTTCTCCTGTTTTTTTTTCTTAAACCAAAATGACAGATCAAACTGAACCAGCATTATCAAAATAAGAAAACATAAACAAATAATGAGTATTAAGTAACTTTAACTTTATCGTGATGACAAAAAAATGAAATTCTGCTATCTTTGGAAGGGGTTGATAAAAAAAAACACATCAAGGTATATATATATATATGCCTTATCCATGTGTTCCGTAAAAGATCTCAGATTTATCCTTAAGTCTGAGATATTTCAAAGTTGGTTGGATATGAAATTAAGAAAAACGAGTGTGTATGTGTGTTTTTTTTATTATGGAATGAAAGACCGGACTGTGGTAAAATGATACCTCCTGCTAAAGTCACAATAAACCCCTCTGAGTTCAGAGTCTACTGTTGGTCACATGTCGTTCCTCCACTCAGGGTCCAGGTACAGCTGAACATCACTTTCAGCAGTTTCAACTGGTGATTAACAAAAGACAGCAAACTTTAGTTGTGAGCAAGGTTTGTTTAGGGTTCATTTACAAATACAGTAAAGACATGATTGTTACCTTGAACTTCAAGGTTCATTTCGTTGTAAAGCACTGCAAGTCTATCTATGATTTTATCTTCATCCTCTTTATGATCTAAGTCAATGTAGCCTCCTTCATCCCTGCAGTACTTGGTGAAGCTGAATCAAGACAAAGAAGGAGGAAAAAAGTCACTTTTAGCTGAAAATTGCTGGTTAAGAGCAGAAGATGTGTGCACAACATACCGGGCCCAGGTAGCATCTGTGTTCAACACTCTGGGGTTTCCCACCACAATCAGAAGTGCTTTGGCTCGAGTCACAGCCACATTGAATCTCTTTAAATGACAGAGTGTTTAAGGATGATGTACACACATACAATACGTGTCTTTGAATGAATCATTTGTACCTTCTCATTCTTAACGAAGCCCAAGTTGAACTTTCTGTCAAACTCCAAGTTATTTGATCCGCTTCGAACTGTGGACACCAGGATCACTCTCCTCTCCTGGCCTTGGAACTCCTCCACAGACCCAACCTGACACACACGCACTTTTATTTACTATGTAAATACATAAACAACTCTATATGTAATGTTCTTTAAATGGGGAACAGTCATTTACCTTCAGAAGAGTCATGTCATGGGATTTGAAGTCTTTCCCAACTTTTTCCAAGGCCTTGCGGATTTTCTGCACCTATTTTGGAATGAGACATGAAGCAGCATTACTACTTAATCTGCAAATAATCAGTAAGGTAATAATTTGTAATAAGTATTGATAAATTCAAGCTATTCTCAGGTTTTCCACTTTTACGGCCACTTTTTACATTGTTTACATCTTATTTTAAACTTTTTTCCTATTCATTAGATAATTAAATCTATACCATTTGGAATCTTTGCAGAAGGATTAACTCTTGGATATTTTTCCACCTGTTACCCATAACAATGGGAATGTTGCTTAAATGTAGGAGCAGCACAAGCAATTAATAAAATAAGACTAAAGTCCGACTCCCAAATTCGGATGCAGGCCAGGAACAAAATAGAGAAAAAGTGAAAGAACTTTGCATCATATCTTCTCTTAATCATCATGGGATGGTAAAACTCACTGGAACATAAAATGCATGAGTTGGGTGGCTAATGAGGAAGCAGCAGACATTTTTTCAGGAAGGCTTTTAAAATATTACTGAGTTAAATTGAATTTAAAGTCTGGCTCCACAAGATACAAAGTGTTCTCACAAGTCATTTATTTTCAGATTTGTGCTGTTTTAAACTCCAAGTAGCCATTAAAACACACCCTAAAGATTCACTCAGAAAGTGCTGAGTGAGGGGTAATTCATACCTGTTTCCTGTAAGGAGCAATGATGCCTATGTCTTTGGGTGTGATTTTAGACAGTCCCTTCTTGCCGTCTGACTGGAGCAGTTTCCTTACGTAGTCCATCAGCACCTCCACTTCTGCCACATTGAAGAAGGATGGACTGCTTGCCTCACGTGCGTCAACACCAGCTACCCCACGGAAGATCACCGGGAAGCCCTATAATATAGACCACAAATATTTCCCCTAAAGCATGTTGTTTTTAATCTGTACATCTGTAAGATCTACACTAATTCATGAAGCAATGTACCACAAAGCCCAACACAAGCAGGGTTTCTTCATACAAGCTGGCTCAGCAAAACGTAACATTCCAGGCATTGACAACGGCAAATACGACAGTGGGTGTATTAATTACTGCGGCACAGTCATTAATCTAATTGAAGTGCATGTACATGCACTACATGTAGGCGGGTGCTCACAGGGGAATTGATACCTGCTTTGGAAGGTGCTCCCATGTGCAGTAGAAGTTACGTGCATATTCATCTGCGCAAGCCTGCAGCTCTCCGTCATAGTAAAGCTCGTTGGGAATTTTCAGAATGGCAGGATGAGACCTGAAAAACAAAGTTTCAGAGGGTTCGTCCTGAAAATCTATCACATCAAAAAGTAAGACCTCGCCTCTGTTTTCTAGCACACCTGTAGTTGCGCAGCAGCTTGGTGACGAAGCAGTTGTTGAACGCATCCTCGTTCTTCTGGTACAGAGTGAAATTATTCATCAGACGCTCCAAAAGGGACATTCCTGCAGACAGCACAGACTGTTAACCATCTAAATACTATCACACAAGTTTTGCAGGACTAGGTTTTCACAATTAATTCTCATCTTTTCAAAACATCCGTTCTTACCCATCCCGTATCTCAGTGCAAAGGGAGATCTGAGAATGGGTCCGAGCTGCTTGGGGTCTCCGGCCAGAACCAGTTGGCCAGTCTCAGTATCGAGCAATCCTACACAGCATCGGAAAATAAACCAAAATATGAGCAATCCCGGATTGGATGTTCAGAGACAGTGCAGATGTGGTTGTCTGTACCTGCAATTGGGACCAAACATTCCGTCTCCACAGCGTGTCCGGCCTCGTCCACAAACACATGAGTGAAATGTCCAGCTGGAATGTCTCCCGAGACAAACCTGGGCAGATCAAAGACTTGGTAACGAACGTTCATAAACTGTGTTGAATGATGGTGAGACTTTGAATATTAAAGTGCAGTAAATAACCGTCCACGGAGAGAAAGTCTCATGCAGGTGAGCAGATAAAAGTGAAAATTATTCGCTACCTTCCAGCAGTTAACAGGGTGGTGACCAAGATCTTATACTCCATCAGCTTTTCTTTTGGAGGAAAAACATAACACTCTCCTACCAGGTTAGAACATGCCTGTGAAGCATCATAATTGTCTTTTAGATAAGCGTCAGATGAGTGTGTTATTAACAGCTGCAAAGCATGAATGAGAAGCTGAAAGATCAACTGGAGTGAAACGGCACCCCTTCACTGACCTTTAAGCGTTCAGGAACAAATCTTGGCTCCCGACTGCTGGCATACATGCGGTACACTTTGTGCGCGTCCACGTGGTCCAGGATCTTGCTGCACAACAGGTCAGCAGCACTGTTGGACGGAGCACAGGCCAGAATGTGGCAGCAGGGCTGGGCCTTCTCTATCTGCTTGATGGCCTCCACCAGAGTCACGGTTTTGCCTGAACCGACCAAGAAAGATTAGATTGCGGCTCAGTGAGAATGTAGCAGGATAGCAGGTCAAAGTTAAACTGTTCAAGCGAGGCCATTACAGAAAAAAGCAATACGGAGTCTCCAAAGGCTTCAGATCCTCTTATGTTTCGCACATTTTGTCGTGTTTCAGGCTTTCTATCCGTAAATATATAATCATTCTCAAACGTGAGAAAATAAACAGACTACACTGGATTTACAAGACTTTTTGATTCCTTAAAAAAGGATGTTTGTAATCAGACCATTTACTGTGAAGCCGAGCTCTGATGCATTACATTCTGGACATCATTAGGATAGACACTTACTATATAAGGTCTAAATATGCTGATGATCACCATGAGAAAAAGAGATAGACACCTTTGCCACAGAAGTGCACAGATCGGATGTAACTGGAAAATGTGATCTTTAATTTCTGTATGAAGACTGCTCATACTATATCATTCTAAAATAGATTGACTTTACAACACCTGATAAACAGACTTCATATAGCTACCTTGCAAAACAAGGGCCCTTTAAAAAACCAGTTCAACAGGAACCCCGCAGTCTTTATAAATTAGATCTAGAATTCCTTTGTGGGGTTGGGAGAACATTAGAGCAAGAGAGTCAGTGCAGCACATCACCAACCATGTCATTAGTGAAAGACTTTTAAAAAAGCCTGCAGGGATGTTCAGAAAAAGCAGCTGAATTATTGTCAGACCATGAAACACAAGGTTACTGGAAACAAGAGATAAATATTGAACTGAATCTCTCGCTCCCCTTATATAGATGAACATGCGTATAGTACCTGTTCCAGGTGGGCCAAACACAAGGTAAGGCGCAGGCCTGGATGATCCGGCCACAATGTGTTGGACTGCTTGATACTGCTCTGGGTTTTTCTCCAGTTGCCAGTCAAAGAGCCTTTCAGGAGAAAGAAGAGGAACAAAAAAAAAGTAAGACGCTGGAGCGTTTTCTCATTTTCATGAGGTGACTCAAGGTTTGGGCCAGCACTTTGAGGGACTTTTTTGTTATTGGGGAATTCTTTTCAAAATGCATGTACAAATCTTTAAGTAAAATAATGTTACATGTAAATATCTCTCATTCAGTTCTGTTTATCCATTGCAAAAAAAGCCCTCAGCAATCTTTTCTATTTTTACCACAATGATCTCGATTCAAGTACTTGGTTCTGTGAAACATCACTGGGTCACTTCCCAAATATTTTCTGTATTTGATGTGCACTTTATGGAAAAGTGTTGATCCTTTGGAGACATTTCTTCTGGTATCAATTTCAAATCTGTTCAATCAATAATAGTTGCCCTTTGGACCAATCAGCCCTCTGACATAGCTTTACCCAGGATTTCCTCCAACTTAAATCAGTATTTAGAGGATCGAAGCTCCAGTTCTAGTTGACTTCATAAACAGGATTAGGATTTCATGTACACGTCCGTATGCAAAGAAGCACGCAGTCGATATTTGCTTTGAACCTGAGTTTAGGAAGATCCGGTGGATAACTTGACATGGGAGATGCAACAGGAAACAGCACACTTCTCAGATTGCAGGAGGCCGCCAGCTCTGCTGCTCTGTGCTGCAGACGTACGGTCAAGCGGTTGATGGTGAACTCAATGTTGAATTTCACCCCTTCGATGAAGGAGAGATCTTTTCCGTTTGTAAAGCGGCTCAGTAGCCTGAAACAAAAGGTAGATAGACTGAGCGAGAGATACACAAGTATACCATTTCTGTATCACATGCGACAGGAATGCGTTGGTCTTACTCTGAGGCAAAGCCCAGCCTGACGCTGTCCAGCTGCACACTGTGGACGTAGCCGCGGTACTTCACTCCCGTTTCTCCTTGAGGGTAGGCCAGCAGTGCATCTCCCCGAAGCACAGATGGGCGGTTCTCAGACACACCAGGGACCTGTGGGTGGGTGGGTTGTTGGGTAAAAAACGGAAAATAATTTTTTGTTCAGTAGTCTGGCTTCAATTCACAAGTAAGATACATTTTTCAAGATGGTTTGAGAAGTCAGAAAAAGGACATGGCCGAGAATGGTTGTTGGGTTTCCAGAAGGGGGCAGTATAGGATTTATCTGTCGTGGTCATAAGTTCATAGAGGTAACTGTCCTGAGAACACCTTGAAAGGGACTAAATAGAGACACAGGTGGGTGGGCATTTGCACTAAAGAAATTAGAGGGTTTTTCCTGAAGATTCTCTTTACTATCTGTGGAAATCAGGGATGTTATTTTAATATCTGGAAAAACAGAAGCCAGTCACATGAGCTGACGGTGTATCAGCTTCAAGCAGAAACCACAAGTGAGTCACCTCGTTGTAATGTTTGCCGTGTCAGCCATGACTGGGGGAAATATTTCCACGCCACCCAATTTGCATCAAGTCTTCTCTGAACATCTGAAGACGATGGCAGCCGTAATTCTTTGTGCTTCTTGTATAATAGTTAAAAACCCTAAAATTACCCAATTATCGCATGTCTAAACCAATCACTTGCAATTTCATGTGATATAATTTTGGCATTTGTTATAAAATATGGTTAATTTGCTTTTTTCCAATAAAAATGCACATGAAGCCACATCTTTAATTCACTTTATTCAGTGAGCACACTTCTAATTTTTAAGATGTGTTCTTTCCTCTCTGGGTCATGTAGCTGTGTGTGTTGTCAGTGTAAACTGAAAAACAGAGGGCGTGTCAATAAGGGATTTAAAAATGAACTTATCAGTTGTTAAGACCCTAATAAACCAATTTCCACCTCCCTGTGAGGAGGCTGCATTCCCAGTGTGAAAACCCTGTTCTGTGGGCAGTTTTAGCATGTCAGAGATTAGACAGGAGGGTGGAGACAGCAGTGTGAACTGTGCACTTTTACTGTCCTCAGACCTGAGCGCTGTCACCAGCTGGTGTTTACAACAGCATTCCCAATTCCTGAATATGGCACAAATGGACGCAACTGTGGGGAAATTAGCACTTGAGGAGAAAAATATAAACAACCTCACACTTGAAAAGTCATAAAAACAGTCATATTAATTTTGTATAAACCAATAAGGAATATTAGTCTTGAGATTCTCACTGCAGACTTATTATGCCCTTCGCTTTTAAAAATTGCACACAGGTAGGTTTACAACCTCTTTGTACATTTTTGGAAATTGTAAAACGTGAATGTTTGTTCTGACACAAATAAAAAAAAATCTTGAATCATTTTATGCAATCCAGACTTACATCCCTCTTTGGTTAAGGATTTTTTTTTATAGGACGGGTAAGGCTATCTTTCTTTTTCATTGTTTTTTTCATGGCCACCTGAGCACACTTCTGTTATTTCACTCAATTAGGAAACTTCCTGGACCAAAAGGTACATTTGAACAGGCAATCCAAGCTATTGCTTTATGGCTTATTTGAAGACATGAGCAGTCTTACACTATCATAGAGTTCCATAAGTTGACTCTAAGTACACTAAAGTTTTTTTGACAGTTATCGCAACTCTTGTGTTGGTGAGAAAAATACACCCTTTTCTTTTTTTTTCCTTCATGGGTATTTTTTTCAATGATCAAGACATTCTTGTAAATTCTAAAATCAATTACTTTCACATTAAAGCACCCTGCAACCTATATTACCATTTTAAATAGTTTTAAACCTGGTGATCATAATAATTATACTTTGTCCAGTACTGTATCTCTCTCCAAGGGCCACAGTTACTAAGCAACAATGCCTGCTGATGGTACATAAATTTGAAAAAGAAAATAAAGAATATATACTTAATTAAACAACTGTGGGAGATTACCACATTACCTCTAAAATAAGAAGCTTCTTCTGATGCGGGTCGCTCCTTAGGACGGCAAACTCTTTATCCTCATTGGGAATGTTGTACCTTCTGATGTCAACCTCCATCTGGAGTTCCTCCAAATACAGCAGCAGCTGGAACTTTTCAGTATAGTTCTCCCAGTTCAGGGGATTCTCCAGCACAGTCCCTCTGAGGAGGTAGCATGGACAGCAGTGTTTACCAGGGAAGTCCTCCTCTTTGCCACTTCACTTGATCATTGGAGCTGAGGAGAACTTACCTTTGATCAGACAGGGAACAGGACTGCCTGAGCAATCTGAGGAGCTGGTTCATGTACGGTGGTACTCGGTACTGTTTTAACTCGACCACATACTGGAGCTGCAGCACTGTCATCCTGGAGGGGGTTGTGAAAAGAAAGGTTTGAAAAAGTTTCACACATTTTTGCAGAACATGCAACAAACACAGCATTTATTTTATTTCATGGTGCACCGAACAAATGAAAGCAAGCACCCCTCGGGTCGCTGTCCATCCACAATGTTGAACTTTGGTTCGGCAATCAAGGCCGGTAGGGAGCGAGGCTTGTAGGGGGCCACAGGTGCCAGCTCGAGTCCCAAGGAAGTGACACACTGGGCCTCGATGAAGCGGACAATGTGGAAGGCAGAAGAGGAAGGCTGCAAATCTGGTTTGAACTCAAAAGCCAGAGTAGCTGGATAAAAACCAACTGAACTGCAGCGGAAGTCAACCTGTATCTCGTAGCTGTCACCTGAAAACCAAAAGAAATCGGTTAACTGTTTATTGCTCAAAATTTTGGTTTGATTCATGCAGTGTTGTATCTCACACTTGAAATCTGCAGTTCAAATCAAAACTGTAGCTCGTTTTGCACACTTTACCTGGTTTTAGTTGCAGAGGGTTCCGTTTGGTCACTCTTTGCTCATCAAACATACTTAAGCATTTGAGCCAGTGGAGTGGGGTGTAGTAAGTGAAGTACACAGGTTGTGTGCTGGTGTTTTTCACAGTCAGATTAACCTTATACTGTAAAAAAAAAAAAAAAATCACTAGTAAACATTTTTTTAAAAAGGTTTGAGATTTGTATGATTATAGGATGATTGCTGTCAGAGAAGGGTGCATGTTAATGGCATAAATACCTCAAGTGTGTTTTTAATACACACGCCAAGTTTTCCATTCTCAAACAGATGGTCAGAGGTGATACTGATACCATGTTTGTCAGAGATAAACTGGGTCCTGTAAGTGCAATAAAGGTAAAGGGCATGTATCACTGCACTGATGGCAGCAGAATGTCCACATTATCAATGCCATGTTGAAAATAAGGCAACTAGCAGCATTTTGTTGGTTCTCACCACATCAGATTTATGAGGAAAAGGAGTTAAGACCAAACTGCTTGCATACTGCATATAGGATTTTTTTATATTTATCAGATATAGTAAGATGATAAGCAATTAAAAGACTCTGCTAAAGTTGTATATTTTTTTCTTCTTTCTTTTTTTTCTAAATTAAGCAAATTGTAAAAAAATCAAACGAAAAAACTAGCATATCACAGAAAAGTTTGTCGTTACCTCTCCACATTGAGTTTTTTTATCAGAAGACCGGCTAGCTTCCTTCGGGCTCTTACTCCTGTCTCGGCCTCGTCCGGAGAGTTAGGTGCCAGTAAGATCTCAGGGCTGGCTGCTCCATTCTGGACCGGCTGTGGTTGGCGGTCCCTGGGACTGTTCCACTGATCCACATAGAGAGCTTTGACCTGTGCACATCCATATTAGCTTTTAAAAAGTAAGTCACATCATGCAGCTGCCGTGTTTTATTTTAACCATAAACAGCTAAACTGACTTTTAAAACAGGTCAGCAAAAGTGCCTTGACCTTTTAATGGAGCTCCTCCCAAATCTCAACCATATTTCTTCTTGTTCTTTATTACTTTTTTCAATCTTACACATCATTATGAATCAATATAGGAATGTATCTATGTATTTATCTGACCCAATCACATTTTTTGCAATGGCACAAGTCTGATTGTCTGCCCCCTCCAAAAAAACCTGGCCCTGTGACTACATGTTTCTATTTTCCATCTCTTTTCTCATATGTATTTTGCAACCCAGAACACCCCCCCCCCCCCCCCCTGTGTACTGTGTAAGATCATTCTCTGATAAACAAATAACAGAAGATGTCACACTGAACACAAAAAGGACCTCATGAAGAATTATGTCTCTGGAGTTCAAATGTGTTTTAGACTGCTTTCAATAGGATCGAATTATAAAATAAGAACATTGATCAATCGGTAACATTGAAGGCGCTCCTACCGTGGAGTTGAAGCGTATTTTGTCATAGCGCCTTGTAATTTTGTGGCACACTTTCAGGGCATAGAGGACCGAACCGAAGTTCGGATCTTTGGTACCAGCGTTCCTACGATAAAAAAAAGACAGCGTTTAATTTCAGGTGAAAACAAAGCAAACTTACGTATCAAGTATGACCAACAACTCACCTGCTCCTGAACTCATCGTTGTAAATGTCTCTCAGCTGAATTCTGTCAGTGATGGATGCGCGATTGGTTTCGTTTAAAAACTCAAAAAAGTCGAGTCCGATTTGACAGCGTAAACTTAAAGCCATGTTAACCATGATAAAAGCTCAGCGGGATCCAACTTACACCTAAAGTGTTTGGTTTGTTGGGTTTAATGCGGACGTCTCGGACGTCAATAAGCATATGATTTCCCCAGGTGGCGATGACTTTCTGTTCCTGGACAGTCCACATGGGCGGTGCGCTCCAGGGCTTTATTAGTCAGCGCAGCAGCGCTTGGACGGCAGAGCTTGGTGATATAAACAGATACGCCCACACATTGGACGAGTCTGGAGGAAACGAAACTTAACTTGGTGAAACCGAACAGGCAGAGCTGCGCCCATGGCTGCACCAACAAAGCTGCCAGGCATGAAGTAACACATCTAGTCAGTGAACGCGTCAGCAGTAATGACCGAGTTTTCATAACGATACTCGTAATAAAAAATAAACAGAAAAATCAATAAGAAATAGCCTTTAATGTGCTTATCATCTGACTTGTTTAAGACTGAAAATGAAGTACATGCAGACGACGATTTGTGTCACAAACTTTCGATAAGTTCTTTCTTGAACAATTCATCCGGCATCAACACAACCTCAAGAAACGTGCACTCTGCTTTGCATCCTGTTGCCACAAGATGGAACTGTTCCCCTAAAACACCAAAGCTGATACGTACTGTAACCTGTCTGAATGAACATTTCAGCCCTGATATGTAAATCCAAATGGGCTCCACTGATAGCATTAAATACCGGTTACCTGGACCCAGACAAGCTGCAAGTGTGATAGATAGATAAATCACTACATTTTCATTTGCAATTACTACATTTAACAAAATGAAAAGAATGGCTCTTTAAGGGATACACTGGAATAATCCAACAGGGGCTTTTTGGCCTTATGCAAAATCCTGCAGGACGATTAAAATTTGACTAACTTTTTACCAAGATTCTTTAGGTAGAACGATATTTCATTATAAAGTGCAGCAAAAGTTATTTACTTGGTAAACAGTTTTGCAACTGAGCTAGTGTATCAGTTTGTGCACTGATCTGATGCACTAACATCTTACTTCTAACATTAGGTGCTGTGAGTAAGAACTAACATGAACACAGAGAGCAACTGAGACAAACTTTAACTCTCACATTCTTCTTTCCCCACGTGATTTCACTGTTTGTCCACTAGGAGGAAACACAGACCCATTATCCTAACTGTGTGGTTCACACTGTTTTAATTTCAAGCATTGTCACTTTATTTTAAGATGTATAGATGACAGTGAAATCAGCAACAATACACCTAAGGCCTCATGAATAAAGTGCAGGTACCGTAAGGAGTCAAACATTTCAGTACCACATCCACATATCTCCTCAGAAGTATCACAGAGTATTTTTTCATGCAGAGTGTGTTTCGGGGTTTGAGGATTTCAGAGGGTTAGTTTGAGTGTTATCTGAGTGATGTCAGTGAGGAAAGTCTGAAAATTGCCAAATGGGGATTTGGAAGGACACAGGGTCAGGTTTGTTTGACGTGTAATGATCCAGGGGTGTTTGTTTGTTCTGATTAGTATTGTGCGTGGATCTGTTTGTGTGTGTGTGTGTGTGTGTGTGCGTGAGTCTCTCTCTGTATCTTTGTCCATGTGTGTGTGTTTGAGGCAGCATGCTGACTCAGCCATCCAGATTGTCTTACTGTATCATCCTCTGAGTCCCGCGGTGACTCAGTCACCTACTCGCCGCCCCAGCAGCCGCGACCCCACATGAGACAGACACCTACACAGAAAAGCACTTGTGTGTGTGGGTGTAGCCTATATATGTGTGTGAGAGGATATAACAGAGAGCAAAAGTACCCCCTGATAGCAGTGTGCATGTGTAAATGTTTATCAAATGACATGTCGATGCATTGTGTGTTTGTGTGCATGTGTGTCAATGACCCAGAGAGACAACGGGGCCAAGAAATGACTTAAATGGCCGCAGCTGCATTTCCATGGTAACTGGGTGTTTAAATGGAGGGACATTATGGGCTAGAGCACAGGGTAATGACCGCTCTGGCTGTCGGAATGCCTTGATCTTATCACCATGGCAAGAGGGGATGCTCCCACTTTCTGATGGTCTAATAGCCCCAGCTCTTATGGACAGGCAGCCTGGGCCGCTGAGGTCACCCGGAAACCTTCCTACACACACACACACACACACACACACACACACACACACTCCAACAGAAATCCTAAAACCTGCCTTCTGCTGTCGCTGAAACAAATGCGGCTTCTAAATACTGTATTACTGACAAACAGGTTGCAAAGTGTATCGTGACAGTGATCGTAAGCTAGTTCCATGTCGTAAGAGCAAATGAGAACAACAGAGGAGAGATAAGAAGTTGTTGTAGCCTTGTGTGCAGAGGACTGGCCTGTCACTGTTTTGGGACCCTCACACACTCCCATACTTGCATGCCCTCCTGAAATTCTCACAGCACTGCAGTGTATACACGGACAAATCCTATAAGTCTATTTGCATACCACAACAGTCCTTTTCTAATCTGTTTGTTTGAAATTGGTGATGAATTTGCAAATTTCAGCAGATTCCGACTCAGGCCTTATTTCTCCATACAACTGGTTAGATGCCATCAGTTAAGTACATCCGTGCATGTTTATATGTGTGTGTGCGTATGTCATTTGCATGTGTGTGTGTGTGGGTGTGTGTGTATGTGTCAATGCTGTGCTTTATCTCATTCAATGAGTGAGTGGAGGTTGGTTATAAGGCCATCTTTCCCTCTCAGACACCTAATCTGTCTCTGTCACTGTTTGTGCTGCCAGTGTGGGGACGCACACACACACATCCAAGCACCCACACTGTATCAATGACATTTCCTCAGTTGCATTCAATTTGTGCAGTACACAAATAAACCCCAACTGATTTAAATGGTGCATCCTAAATCATAAATGTCAGTGAAAACTAATTAGTGACTAATGATGACTTTTCTTAAAGCCCACCCCTGATTTCCCCTCTGTCATGACAAGCTGTCAGACAGTGCGCCTGTACTGAAGTGTCCTATTGAGCTCGCTCAAGTGAACTTATCTCCCACCATTCCCTCTCACATCTTGCTCCTTCCAGTATCCAGACAGGGCTGAGTGCTAAACTCCTCCTGCCCTCCTCACAACAGAGAGCCCCGTCTCTTCCACACTCTGAACCCTCTCTACGGCATGTCATCTGCTGCAGGTGGCGGACCGCTGCATGATCTGTAAGCGATAAGACAGTTCACTCGATAGTCATGGCCACATCCCCAGATGCCACAGCTACCTCAGACTCTGCTTCACGTTGGAAAAAAAGCTATTTCTTTTCTTATTTTTTACGTTGAGACTGACAGATCTCAAATAAGCTTAAATTAACCATACTCTGGGGCTGAGTTTGATGAAGTTAGGTTTGGTTAAAACAAACATGTGCTAAATGCATAATCACAAACATTCATGAGGAAAATTAAATGCAAGCCCAAGTTCAAAGATGTTGGACATCTTAAATTAGAAATGGAAACCATAGAGTTTCTTGGGCTAGTTCATGAAACTGATGACTGCCAAACCAAAAAGATTTAGGATTAGGGCATCTGGACAACTATTGTACACCAGCAAGACTGACTGATAAATGTCAGGAATGACATTAGAAAGACTTGTAAATGTAATTCTTCTGCTTTTAATCACTTAGACATTATTCATTTTCTCTATGGTCTTTTGTACAGTTAAAATTGAACTTGCTGTGGAGCTATACTTGCCTTATCCCTCTCTGTGGTTTCAAGCCATTTGATTATATATTTTGTGCATAAGTTTGCATTTTTACTTTGCACATGAGTATATCACATGTGGTAATAGCACAGAGCTACAAGGGCGATAGATCTTCCGTTCTATGGTTTTTCTCCAATAGCAGGATGTAAAGTACAGATGCTCCCCTGTACTGCTCTGTGATCCATTGACAACTGTCCAGCTCTACTCGTCATATACATCCATGTAAAATACAATTGCAAGATCAAATAACAGGATTATTTTTTCCTGCAATCTACACTGTGGGAGGTCTTTGCCCACAGGACAAACAAAAGTAGATGTTTTAAGTAATGCAGCTATCCAACCTCACTATGCACACACACATTCTATACACAGTGCAAACACCGAAACTTGCATGTTAGATTAAAGCAACAAGATAGAACAACCAGTTGCAATTTAATCTTATTGTTTTATCTCTGGTGAAGCGCAGACACAAGAAACGTATGGTTGAACAGGGAGTCACAGTGAGGCTGCTGGAAAGCCTACAGAGACGGCAGGAAATGACTAATCCCATTCAAGGATAAGCTTGACACCATAAAATCACAAGTGGAATTTACTCATATTAACACTGCTTAAAATAGGAGTTGTTGCAGGTCATTGCTGGCAACTTAAAACTCTCCATTTATTTATTTATTTTTTGGTGGACTTTGGTTATTAAAAACAGTCAAATTACTGACTCCAGCTCATCCAACACATGGTATTTAAAAAAGAAATTGCCCTCTGGTAAATCTTATGTATCCAGTATATTAAAGAAAACCAAATAGGGCACACAGCACTATAAAAAATATGGATTTACATTTATTTAGTATGCCACTCTGCTTTGGTGATGGATTCAACTACTTTGTGTCCAAATGTTACCAAATTAAGCAATTTAGTGGATGTGGAATAATGAAAAATTGACTGAGGCATTTCAGCAAAGTCAATTGGTTAGTGGTGGTCATATTGTGTCTTTGCTGTTTGACAGTTTATACTGAGTCATGTCATTTGTAATATACATTTCTTAACTAGAAAGAAGAAATTTGTAAGACATTTCCATGAAGGTTGCAGCAAGGTTGAGGAAGTTGACATCTCTTTTGTCTATCATAGTCAAAAATACAGCAATACATGCCAGTAAAAGTGCTGTGGAGGAGGAAATATTACAAACTCTAGGACACACTGTGCTCAGAGTAGCAAGTTTAAAAATAAAGTGTGTGTTCACAACAGATAGAAATCCAGAAATGGTTCCTGATGAGGAACATCTCTGCATACTGCATGATCAGTCAACACTGAATGAAATGTCCACGGCTCAGTCTTTGCCAGGCATGAATAAAAATCTCTATGAATTAATCATTGATGCACTTCAAATTTTAGGCAGTTTATCTTTTATTTAACCCTGTCAATTACGCCTTAGTTTTACGTTTGGCCAAGTGATTTGGCTGAATTTCCTTACATCTAGTATATACATTTATCATTTTAAT